CCACCAGGACAAATTGTCCGAGTCCCTATTAATATTCTATGATTTGCATTGACTGTGGTGTCTATCCTACTTCATTTTTGGGGCCAGCTAATGAGGAAGATATAATTTATCCATGAAGTAGAGTAAGGAAACAGACTTAGAGAGCAGAAGTAAATTGCTCAAGATCCAATAGCTAGTTTGCCTCCAAACTGCTGCTCTTTGTTATTGAGTTGTCCAGCTTCTACAGAAAAATGCAATAAACGTAATAGAAAACACAGTATCATCTGACCACTTTGGAGCATTTCCTGCTAGCAGTTGGCCTTCAATAGATGCAGAAATTGAGGTTCAGTGATTTTTTAGCATCCTGATTCTGTTACTATTGTTCTCCCTTAGCACTTTTCTTAGGTAAGTGTCTAATAACTGGGGTAACATGTATCTCACTTTGTAGACAATATACTCTGAGTAAAAGCATTGCTTCCAGCCTGGCGACGTGGCCTAGCGGCTAAAGTCCTTGCCTTGAACGCGCCAGGATCCCATATGGGCGCCAGTTCCAATCCTGGCACCTCCACTTCCCATCCAGCTCCCTGCTTGTGGCCTGGGAAAGCAGTCAAGGACAGACCAAAGCTTTGGGACCCTGTACCCGTGTGGGATACCTGGAAGAAGTTCCAGGATCCTGGCTTCAGATCTGCATAGCATCGGCCGTTGTGCTCATTTGGGGAGTGAATCATCAGACAGAGGATCTTCCTCTCTGTCTCTCTTCCTCTCTGTATGTCTGACTTTCCAATAAATAAATAAATCTTAAAAAAAAAAAGCATTGTTTCTATCTATTTACCTCTGAATCCTGGACCTTACACCTTGTGGACTTGCAGCAACATTTATGAATGAATGAATGAATATGAACAGAGCTAAGCTGTAGCCAAGGGCAGTGTTTCCCTACCCTCCTCTACATCTGGGGACAGGGATTGGCTTTCCTTTGATCACAGGGAGTACAGAAGTGTCATAATCTCAGTCCCCCAGGGAGCTTGACCTCCTGACAGCATTTTCAAGGTTGTTGTTGAAAAATCAAGTTGCAATGCCCTCCTTCTCCCCTTACTTTCTCTTCCCATTCTCATCACAGTGCTAAAGATCCCTTCCAGGTAACTGCCTCCTGACCCAGGATACAGGTTTTGAAATGTCCCTTGGAGTCCCTGGAATAACCATGGGATGCAGGAATTGTGGGATAGTTGCAGAGGGGTATCCAGGCTGGGAAAGTGGGCAGTGAATATAAGCATGCAGGGGCAATTGTGGCATGAAGGACCCCCTTCATCCAACAGGCTCCCCTGATGTGATGCTCATGCTTACCATCTTGTGACTTGTGTTGTACCATGGGATTTTCAAAGGAACTCAAGCCAAAACAGAAGGGGACATAAAATGGCCCTAGTGGGAACACTGTAGAAGAGAAAAACAGATGTGATTTTCTGGTTTCTGGAGAAATAATTCAGGATGGCGGTATTGCGTGGCAGAGCATCGATCTCTCAGGGCAGATAGAATGGAGGCGGCCCCTCTGTGAAGCCCCTCGAGCCCTGGTTACCATGCAGCCAGACTTCAAGGCAGCCCTGCCTGGAGGATTTTGGTGCACCTAATTACATAAATACCAAGACACATCGTCTCCCCCCCAGACTAAAAGGTCTCTGCAACAATGAGGAGACAGTGGCCCCCGTGCCCCCTTGTCATGCACATTCATGTCACAGTCCTCAGCAGAGGACTTGGGGTTCTTTGATGCCCAATGTGCTCAATTTGATTTCAGAGATTTCCAATTCCTTGCTCCTAAGCACATCTCCTCAACTAACAAATAGCACCGGGACACAATTCTCTAGAAGGCTCTGTGCCCTTAATTACCTCAAGTCAGTGGCCTTCCCACTGTTGAGAGCCTGGCCGGTCCAGGGCCGCATTAACATTCCTGGGATTGTGCACCGCTGGCCTTTGTCGCTGGAGCTGAATGCCGCCTCATTAGCTCAGGCTCGTGGGGCATGCGTGTCTCTGACAACAGTTTAATTATGGACATTGTTTACGAATCAGTATTACATTGACAGACTAGAGGGCTAATCTTCCGATTAACACAATAGCTTGTTTTCAGTTTATTTTTTCAGCCAATGAAGGCAAGAGTTAAACAAACCTGTTTTTGTAGCTCTTGTTGATGCTAATAAGATTGGGAGACACATTTTGAGGCGTGGATACATTTGGAGGTTTTTATGTTTCTCTTCAAGTTTAGTTTAGCTTGTTATTCATCTGAAGGGAAAAAAAGACACCTTTGGAAAATATTCAAGTTGGAATGATGGAAAGAAGTGGGGGATTGGCTAATTAAGACAAAGGAGTTTAGGAAACTTTGTACCCTTGTTGGTTCCCCTATAGACCTTTGGGAGGTCTCAGTTTAAAAATGTCTTTATATAATTAGTTAATAATTAATTATATGATTAGTTAATAATTAATTATATAATTATCTTAATCTGTCATTAAAGATTCAGTTTGCTTTTCTTTAGCACTTTGAGGGCTATGAGTTGAAAGCAATGTGAAAACATTCCTTTAAAAAAATCTACATCTAATTAAAAAATATATATATATTGCTAATTTTAGACAGACAGGGAGACACAGAAATAAGATTTAATTCACTCCCCAAATGCCAAAACAGGAGGGGATGGGATGGGTGAGGCTGAAGCCTGGAGCTAGGTCTTCCACATGGATGGCAGGGATCTAGCTGCTTGGGTATATGGGTTCAAACACTTGGGCCATCCTCTGCTGCTTTCTGAAGCACATTAGCTTGGCACTGTATCTACGTGGAGCAGCTGGAACTTGAACTGGTGTCCATGTAGGATTGCTAGCATTGCAGACCATGCTCACCCTTCTATGCTATGGCACCAGCCCCCTGAGCAGTATCTTTACATGAATTGTCTGTCTGTAACTTCTTGAAAAGAGCAAAGATGATCAATTGACCTTCTCCTCCCCCCTTAACTTTCCACCTGATGGAAGTATTAAAGGAGGTAGGTACAGAGGCCAAGAGTCAAGGGAGTAAGAGGAATGGGCGGGGGCGGGGGAGGAGAAAAAGGGTTGGGTGACTCCTGCCTTTGTGTCCCAGGGTCAGACCCCATGCAGCAGGCATGCAGGCCTTTCCCCATGACCCTGTCTGCCAACACCACCTCCTCTACCATGTTTTCCCATTTAAAATCAAGCATCTCTGAATCCCCCATTTCATTCAGCCAATCCACATGGTGTGGCTCAGCTTTTAAGAAGAGTAAATCAACATTTTCAAGCTTGCCTGGTCTTAGTGTAAACAGTCTCCCTGCACTAAAAATGGCCTACAGTGTGATTTGGCCCCGTGCTAGGATGGTGGCTCCACACTGGGGACACACTTGCCTTTAAAAATAACATGGCATCAAGGAAGTGCACCTCGTTGCTGGCTGTGTGCGTGTTTTCTTAGCAACTTGAAAGGACTTTCTTAGCAACTTGAAAGGAGTCACCTTAGCTGCTCCTCTGAGTCATTGCTGGGGGGCCAGAAGCATGGAGAAGGGCCTGGTAGAAAGGCTTTGGGGAAGTGCAGTTGTCCTGGCTGGGCCTCATTAGGCTCTTGCCTCTTTTACCATCTCTGCCTGGAGGGAACCCTGGAGTGCAGTCTTCCTGTCTAGCAGGAGGCAGTAGATGCTTTTGCTCCAGCACAGGAGGAAACCTGTTGTGTGTGCTGCCTAGTACTTCTCTGAATCCCGTTTTCCCAGGCTGCCAGCCAGGCCTGATCCTCTTTCAGACCAGTCCCAGTTAGATGCAGCCTTCACCCACAGCACCTGGAGACTTCTTGGCGCCCCCTCACTTGTCCACAAGCTGTCTGTGGATCTGGGGTTTTTGTCTTAGCAGAGCTTGTCCCAATCCCATCTACCTTTTTGCTGTTGTCCTGAAGTCCCCACAGTTGCCAACAGTCTTTGCCTCTGTTTTTGACTGCTACGCAAATGTATTTCAAAGGGTTTATTTAGCTGGTAAGATGTCTTCCTGGAAGCATGATGTTGCCAGTTGTGTGGTTCCCTTGAATCAGTCTAAGTGTATTCTGAACTTTGCTTTGCTGTTCGTTAGTTGGTGAATTTGGACCAACCTTTAGACAATTTCTCTAGGCAGATGAAGGAGGTTGCAATAGTGGCGGTTAACTTCATAAGGTTGTTCTCAGAGTTACATGAGATAATCTCCATATAGCATTAAATGTCATGCCCGACTCGCATGGAGTGTTTAGGGAATTCTGCTATTCTTATGTCTTCATGAATGTAGACGCTGAGAATGTGCATCTTAAAGAATCCTGGGGTGTGACTCATTGTATAACCCTATAGCTGTCCTGACATTTAAGCCTTCAAACACGGCCCTGGTCTCAAGTTCTGGCAGATGTGTCATGCTGGTTGCCTGGCTGGTCTGTGCAGGAAGTTTGCTGCAGGCTAGGGGAAGAGCCTGCCTCCCAAAAGCACTTGAGCATCCTTGGAGGCAGTATTCCAGCCAGTCTGCAGCTCCCTCTATGGACCCAAGAATCTGAGGCAGCAGGAGTATCCTGATTTCTTAAAACTATTTGAATAGCTGCTTCCTTCTGCATCTTTGGGCAGGTGAGAAGCAGTACACACTCAGAACTCTTTGGCTCTTGTTCGCAAGCTGAGCCACATGCAGGGTTGAAGGATGGATCCGAAATAATAACCAGAAACAAGGCAGACAGACACTCACACCTGCCTGGAAGGAATGAACAAAACAGATGCCTGGGAACTTGGGAAGAATTTGTATGTGAACACATAGGCTTATGGATTTACCATTTCCACTCCAGCAACTTCTAGGAGACTTTGAAAGTGCCTCCCCATACTGCAGAAGAGGCCGGGCACCTGCGTGGGGAGCCACACCCGGCCGGTCCCCATGGGATTCTGATTTATGGAGAGTCGGATTCTGAGCTCAACTGCATTCTTGTGGCTGGGATCAAAAGGGCTTTCTTGCCGACCACACATCACATCCTGGGAATCCTCCCTCTGCAGAACATTCCTGAGAGCAAATGCAGCCTTGGCCACAGCCCATGGGGAGGAGGAAGCCTGGGAGGGCACGTCGCCTGGAAGATGGCATTTCCAGTCCTTCACAACAAAGAACTCTCCACCCAGTAGAAGAGCACTGTCGGTTTGGGCACAGTTACCATCTTTCCATCTGGGCAACCTGGTTGGTGGAAAATAAACTAAACTGAACCCTGGCAAATGACTTCACCTCTTTGGAACTTGGTTTCTTTATCTGTGGAGTGGGAATGTTGGATTAACATCAGAGGGGTCACTCTGTAGGCAATTTGCCACATTCCTCACTATTCCATATGGTCTCATATGTGCCTTGCTTTACTCATTTATAGTACCTTCTTTACCTCATTGGAAACTTGAACTTATTTTAAAATATTTATTTATCTGAAAAGCAGAGTCTCCAAGGGACAAGGAGAGAGAGAATGAGAGTGTTAGAGAGTAAGCTCTTCCATTCTCTGGTTCACTGGGGCCGGGCCAGGCTGAAGTCAGAAGCCATGAACTTAGTCTGGTTATTTCGTTTGAGTGACTAGAGTCCGTGGAGTTGGGCCATCTCCAGCTGCTTTTCCTGGTGCTTTAGCAGGGAACTGGATTGGAAGTGGAGCAGCCAGGACATGAACCTGTACCCATATGGGATGCTTGTGTTGTAGGTAACAGCTTTAACCTGATGCTCCATGATGATGGGCCTGGAATTCCAAATTTACAATTGCTAGACTAAATAGATATAATCTCAAAGGTCTCTCCCCATCCACCCACCCCAATCCCAGCTGTAAAATTCTTGAAGTTCACAGCTAGGGAGGTAGGAGGTTCTTGGGCTTTTGGACCAGGTACTTGGAGATGTGGGGGAAGGGAATGGCCACATGAGGAGGAGTGCCTGCTGGTGGAGTTGACTCTGGTGATTCCAAAGCAGAGAGAATACTGGTACTAAGTGGTAGCCTGTCTGCTACCTCCCTCCAAATACCCAGTGGTCTGCTTGGTTGAGTATTCTTAAGACTGGGCTTGGGCCCTGTGAGGTAGCCTAGTGACTAAAGTCCTTGCCTTGCATGCGCTGGGATCCCATATGGGTGCTGGTTTGTGTTCCTGCTGCCCCACTTCCCATCCAGCTCCCTGCTTGTGGCCTGGGAAAGGAGTCGAGGACACTGTTCCTGGCTTCAATCGGCTCAGCTCAGGCCATTGCAGCCACTTGGGGAGTGGGTTTGCTCACTTTTAGAATGAATTTGTCCCTGAAAGAATCAGTGAGGTCGTGCTTTCTCCTTTCATGGGATGCAGAAGCCTGGCAATGCTAAAAAGGGTGTGATGTGCTGGCATTTTTCTGCCAGCCAGCCCTGGGAGACAATTCTCATGTCTACCTTTTCAGTGAGAAAGGACAAGGTGCTCAGTCTAACTGAGGTCCCAGAATCCCTTTGGGAAGAAGGAGGAGTTTGGGTACACAGAGTGAGCTGGTTTGAGGAGCTGGGGCTGCACTTACATCTCTCGGTTTTAACTCCTGATGATGTCATAACGGAGAGTTTTCTGTGATGACAAGGTGAAGTGGATCCTACTTATCTGTCTGGAGAGACATTACCCATCATATTTAAGAGACTGAATGTGGTTCTCTGCCATCACATCTTTATGTTGTATTTAGATAAGAATCTTATCAAGAAAGTTAATGCTGGGCCCGGTGCTGTGGCTTAGCAGCTAAAGTCCTCACCTTGAATGCGCTGGATCCTATGTGGGTGCCAGTTCTAATCCCAGCAGCTCCACTTCCCATCCTACTCCCTGCTTGTGGCCTGGGAAAGCAGTCAAGGACGGCCCAAAGCCTTGAGACCCTGTACCCTCATGGGAGACCTGGAAGAGGTTCCTGGTTCCCAGCTTCGGATTGGCGCAGAACTGGCCATTGCCGTGACTTGGGGAGTGAATCATCAGATGGAAGATCTTCCTCTCTGTCTCTCCTCCTCTCTGTATATCCGACTTTGTGATAAAAATAAATAAATCTTTTTTTAAAAAAAGAAGAAAGTTAATGCTTTGGTTAGTGGGCGGTTTCTCCCCTGCCCTTTTTGGTGGATTGAGATGTCGGTAATTATGTTGTGCTGATAATTTGCCTTTCCTGAATCCCCACACTGCAAGTCAGGGAGAGAAGTATGGAGGAGGGGCTGATAGGTGAGGATATTAGAGTATTAGAAGGAGATGGTTACATGATAAAAGGCGCCTAGTCCACCATTTATGTCTAAAATCCAAGAGATGCAATATTCTGAATACTGAGCCTCTCGCTGCGGAATGGGATCTCACAAACTAGGGGCCCTGGTGAGAATAAACATGGCTGTCTCCACAGTCAACATTCTCTCATACTGTACATAGAAGTACATTTTTTTTCTGGTATCCTTCCTTCTTTCCATGGATAGAATGCTTGGAATCATGGGAGCCGAGCCATCTTTTGGAAAGTACCAAGATAGAGAGAATATTTTGCAGGTTCTGGAAATTCAGGGTCTTAGATTCCCAAAGCAAGATTTAATGCTAGCTCATAATGTAATTAAGAGAGACCCTAGATAGAGGGGAAACTTTCACTCTTCTGATTAAATTATCTTTTTTTTTTTAAGATTTATTTTTATTATTTTTTTATTGGAAAGGCGGATATACAGAGAGGAGAGCCAGAGAGGAAGATCTTCCGTCCGATGATTCACTCCCCAAGTGAGCGCAACGGGCCGATACTATGCCGATCCGAAGCCAGGAGCCTCTTCCGGGTCTCCCACGCGGGTGCAGGGTCCCAAGGCTTTGGGCTGTCCTCGACTGCTTTCCCAGGCCACAGGCAGGGAGCTGGAAGGGAAGCGGGGCTGCTGGGATTAGAACCGGCGCCCATATGGGATCCCGGGCGTGCAAGGCGAGGACCTTTAACCACTTGCGCCACCGGGCCGGGCCCTTGAATTATCTTTATTTATTTATTTATTTTTAAAAGATTAGCATTTCTTAAAGGTGAAGTGAGAGAGTGAGTGGGAAGGACAGAGAGAGAGGAAGAGAACCTCTGTCTTCTGGTTCACTCTCTAAATGGCCTCAGGGTCAGTAACTGGGCGAGGCTGACACCAGGAAGCTGGGACTCGGTGTGTGTCATTTGTTAGCGGCAGGGACCCAAGCGCTTGGGCCGTCTTCCCCTCTTTCGCAGGTGCATCATCAAGGAGCTGTTTTGAGTGTGGTGTAGCTAGGTGTGATTCTGTGCTTTTATGGGATGCCATGGCTTGACCTGTTGTGTCACAACACTGGTCACTACTCAAAAGATTTTTTTTTTTCTTTAAAAAGCTGTGTTAACTTTTAGGGACATAGATCAATTAAGTTGCTTACCTACTTGTATATTGAGTTTACTTACGTTGCTAATCAAATTCAGAATCACCCATAAGATTATCTGATTTAAGAATTATTGTGTGTATTAACCTCAGTTTATGAAACAGTTTATTTGTCTTTTGTTGTTGTTTAGCATTTTGGGCTTGCGCCTGTGACTTCCAGATTTTCTGAGCCCTCTGGGACAATTTGACATAGCACATAGTTGGTTAAGAAATCTGTTTTAGGGCCCGGTGCGGTGGCGCAAGTGGTTAAGGTCCTCGCCTTGTACGCCCGGGATCCCATATAGGCGCCAGTTCTATCCCAGCAGCCCCGCTTCCCTTCCAGCTCCCTGCCTGTGGCCTGGGAAAGCAGTCGAGGACGGCCCAAAGCTTTGGGATCCTGCACCCGCGTGGGAGACCCGGAAGAGGCTCCTGGCTTCGGATCGGCGTAGTATCGGCCCGTTGTGCTCACTTGGGGAGTGAATCATCGGACGGAAGATCTTCCTCTCTGTCTCTCCTCTCTGTATATCCGCCTTTCCAATGAAAAAATAATAAAAATAAATCTTAAAAAAAAAGATATTCCATTAGAAATCTGTTTTAGACACTACTGTTTGAATCTGTTTATCCCAAGCCACTACTGGTCATCTATATAACATTAGGGAGTTACAATGTGTTTCATTGATTTTATATACCTATTTTTACAATCTCATAATCCTAACTATTAATTTTTAAAGGGTCTTTTCAAAAAGCTTCTTTAAAACAAAACATAGTTTTTGCAATTATTCTAGGAGAAATTTCTTGGTCTATGACTTAAAAAAAAAAAGCAGTCTTCTCAGATAACCTCTATAAGTATCCCAAATTAGCTTTGATTGTGTTCTAATCTTTTATTTTATTAAGTAGTATAATCAAGAATATGGCTCATAAAATTCCACAAAAAGACTGAAAATAAAATAAAATCCTGAGTGAGTTAACTTTGTTTTTGTTTTTAAAAAACAAAATGGGCCTGGCGCGGTAGCCTAGTGGCTGAATCCCTACCTTGCAACTGCCGGGATCCCATGTGGATACTGGTTCATGTCCTAGCTGTTCCATTTCCCATCCAGCTCCCTGCTTGTGGCCCGGGAAAGCAGCACAAGATGGCCCAAAACCTTGGGGCCCTGCGCCCATGTGGGAGACTCAGGAGAAGCTCCTGATTCCTGGTTTCAGCTTGGCTCAGCTCCGTTGCGGCCACGTGAGGAGCGAACCTGTGGATGGAAGCTCTTTCTCTCTGTCTCTCCTTCTCTGTGTAGATCTGTCTTTCTAATAGAAATAAAATAAATCTTTTAAAAAACATCTAATTGACATAACATTTTTTAGCAATTTATATAGAAATCACAGGATTAATGCTATATGTTATATTAATTTCTATGCAGTTGTATATTGGAAACAATTTTTAGGAAAAATATTTTAATTAATTAAATAATTAGAATTCCAGAGAGAGGAGGAGAGAGAGGCCACTGGTGGGAACTGGGTCTGTGTGAAACCAGGAGCCAGGAGATCCTCAGGGTCTGTTCGATGTTTCAGGGGCCCAAGTCTCGGTCATCTCCTATTGCCTTCCTGGGTGTGTTAGCAGTGAGCTGGGTCAAAAATGGATTCGCCTGGACTAGAACTGGCTCTCACAGAGGAGGCCAGAACCAGTTCTATATAGGCTAAAAAAACTGAGGATGACTTACTGTT